TTCTCTCCATTCTTAAGCATATACATTTTCTTTATCGCAAAATCGAGGTCGTAATTTTTAATTTCTCTTATATATCTGTACTTAAAGTTATATATTAACCAGTCCTTAACAGCTGCTTGTTTGACGCCGTCACACTCGAGCGCAGGTGCTCTGCTCTCACTTTTAGTTGAAAGTGTACGTAAGATATTTTATTCTCACGGCAACAAAGACATACTGTGTGAACGCGTGGGAAACTTCAGTTCTTAGCATGAGTGTCGTTGAAAAAAACCATCCGAAAGTTAATCAATGCCTAACAATTCTGCGCTTATTTCCTCAGCATTCAGTTTGGTGAGCTGGTTCCTCTGCTAGATAAGAAAATTTCTAAAGCTGTAAGTTCTCGGAGCTTTTTTATTTAAATGAAATCCGTACATTCTTCCATAATTCAATCAGCTGGATAACGATAGCCTATTATAAGGTAAGCATTTTTATGCATGACCTATCAAGTTGAAGTATATCACAGAGCGCTGCTGCTCTTCTGTATCAATAATATTCGATATTTTTTCATTGTATCAGTAATTAGCATTGTCCTGATTACGTGTCAGATTGAAGTCGGTTGCAGCTTCTCGGCTACACAAACAGAAAAATGAGCGAGTCTGGTTCTTTCATTTGAATGAACCCGATTAATTTGTTCCGAGATCTTTCACATTAATTTGATGTATCCTACATGAGCACCACAAAATTACAAAGTGTTCACTTTACAATGTACTGTGCACGTTGTGTTTTGGCACGTGTCCAATGAAAACGAATCAGTCTAATGGAGTCGAATGGAATCAAGAGAGCCGTGAGTATCATCATCAGTTAGTACGCTCTTGGCTCTTGCATTATAATGCAATCTTCAATCAAAGCTTCATAACACGAAATGAAATTGCATAAATTAGTTTTTTTTCGTGAAATAATATGTCAATCCCCTCCTTCTTCTGAATCATGCACATCGTCACATTTACGTACTCACAGTGCTCACTGGCTCACTGACAGCGCGATGACGCTGTGATGTACGCCCCATTACCCAAAAATACTTCAAATGACAAGAATGTGCTTCTGAAATTATCCTAAACGCCTCACAATCGTGAAATGTGCCCCGCACGCAGCGTGCATGCCTTACATCAACCTTCTGTGGTGGTTGCATGACGTGTAAGAAGATACGTTCGCAGCCAGGCGCCGTGACAGCGTCTTGGTGTCGCGCAACTTGGCTGCTGGCAGCGCCTGCCGCTAGATCATATGAATAAGCAATTTCCTATGTGAACATCAACTGGAATTTTCTTCTTGAATGTTGAGATGATTATAACACGTATATGTTTATTTGCAATGGAAGCCTGAAAGAGTAGCTAAGTGTCTTATAATTTATAATTAGAACACATCAGTCGTCTACTTTACTATGACATTGTTCCAACATTTTCGTTATCTTCCGGATCACGCACGAAAAAGTATGGATTTCTTACGTAGGTACTGTCCAAAAAATGCATTGATGTCTTCATACTTGGGTTTGCGAAAACTTTGTACCTCATGTCTGCTTGCCATTAATTTCGTACGTAGCATCACGAACGTTCGGCGGCCCATGAATAATGTGCATTATTCGGACAGTGTCATGGATAGTAGACGTCCTGTGTTTGTGGGTTCGGTAGTCGTCCCAAGTCCGTTTGAGCCGTTTTCGATCGTAGGGTCACAATAATAGTTCCTTGTCTGTTCGCGCCGTTTTTATGTACCCTAGTGTCACGAACACTAGGCGTTCTGAGTCTGTTTGTTCAGATTTACGTAGGTTGTGTCACGAACACTAGGCGTCCCGTGTCTGTTTGTTCAGATTTCGCCCTAAATTGGCGGTGGCTGGATATGGTCGTGAGTTGGTGGGAAGCTGAGGCGTGTTGACGGAGTTGTGAGAAGAGTCCCGCCTTTATTAATGTTTAGGTATTGTGTATGTATGCTTTTTACTTAGTTTTGGGCAGGCCAGACATCAGTAGACATAAACTCGTAATAGTAATATTGTACGATCTTCGTTCAATCCTTGGCCTTCATGGAAACTTAGAATAATGCGGATAACATGAGGAAAAAAAGCATCATTTAAAGAATATGGGACAAATGCCGATAGGTGTAACTATACTGTGCTAAGACTAGAGTTGGTTACAGAGGCCCCACCAGGCGAGTCTTAATTCCCCGTAATTTTATGGTATGATTCAGATCAGTGGCTATATGTGCATTTGTTAGTCGCACTCAAATACAGAACAACAAGCGTGCATGCGTGCGTGCGTTCATTCGTTCACTGTTCACTCCACCTTACGGTTGAAATTATATGAACAATTCTCCTAATTTTTCAAAAAACGTGACAATTATTTTATTGGCAGGGTTTGGTACATATACACGAAAAGAACCATCACAATAACACGTTAATTATGTGTCAACAATCAATCTTTAACATCTAGCAGCCGAGGTGTAGGCTGAAGCTTATCGCATAGGACGGCGTCGAAGGTATAAATGAATAGGGTTGCTTTGCAATAGGAAGTAAGCTGCTAGACTTATGACACATACGAAGTATTTGAAGGAACAGCGGTTGCGTACTCTAGTGCTCGTATGTAATATTGTGCTATTTCGGAAAGAATAACTACTTGGTATTTGGTTTCTTCATCTTTCTCCTCAAATGTTATATTCCATCATTAGCCTTTATATTTCACCTGAATTGAGGTGCGACTCCTTCTTTAGACTACGACGGCTTTTGAAAGGCATACATTTGTATTCTACCGCAGGTCTAATTTTTTGTGTAATTTATAACTTCGGACCCTAGTCCCTTCGAATTAAATTTATACGTATATGATTGCGATTTAGATAGTATTAGACTCCTTTAATCCGGCCGAACATATCCCAACCATACTTTGACCTCAACCGCCGTCGGCTTATCGGGATCAGAACGTCCTTGAACCTGATCTTTTCATGGTCTTTCTGAGTTATGGGCTTATGGCGTTCGTTTTAAATCGCCGGAATGTCCATAAATTGCCGCCTTGATCCTCTGCTCAGTCGAAGTTGTTTGGGATGAGGCGCAAAAACGCGGCAAGCGCTGAGAGAAAGTTACTTATTACTTTTTATAGATGTGCAAGGACATTTAGCTGCAATTTACGTTCTAGGTACATATTGCAGAGGTATTGTTTTTTACATTTTCTTCGGTCTTCCTATTTATCTTAGGAATGTGTGTTTATGAGAGTGTGCGAGGCGTTATTCAGCACAGCTCCTTGTAATAGAAAAAAAGCGCAATTGTGTTCTTATGTACGTTTTAATAAAAACAATGAATGCTGTATGATATCATGATATCATCTGAACGCTCATGCACCTATTCACTTTCACCGTTGAAATTCCATTCAAATGTATAATATTAACTTGTCTCTGCCGCCTCGACAATTTTTCGTTTCCAGCAGAGTGTGAGCTCCTGGAATGGTGTTTGACAGAGTATTCCGCCTCTGGATTTGATTTTGCAACGCTCGTTATTTTTATGATGGTCGTAACTACGTGCTTGATTGGATCACTTATATAGTTGTAAATTAAGTTTTGCAAACGTGTTCTTTTCCTCACGATTAGTCATCGCACTGTTGCAAAATTTGAAAGGGCACTTGTAAATTACCGCCATCGAAAATGCACTTACCATTATTTCCATTTAAAATATCAGATAATGATGTTCAATATTTTAGTATCATATTGGCAATTGATAGTTTTCGACAGCAACAAAAGTGTACGTAATTTCTACGGAGCATGAATTAGTCAGGCTTCTGTGCGATGTGCATGGAGCGAAATTATTTGTGTCGAGACATGTCCCTCGGCAGTTAGGTCTAGAATTCAACTGTTGTACTACTCATTTGAAAATTTTAATTCGATGAAACATGTTTACATTTGGTTTGTTGACCCGTTATTGTGCCGAATTCATAGTGACATTTGTATAAGTTAATAAGACTGCGGAGGGAAATTATGTGGAGTGAGGTCTTAAATGAGGAAGAAATTGACAAATTATTTTTATCAAAGCAGTGAGTATTAATTTAATACGTTTGACTTGAGGGGAAACATCACTTGATTCCGCTTTATTTTGCGGATTGGTATCGTGTATACCGCTGCGGTTGAGTGAGCAGCGCAGCGTGAAGGATGCAGCTGCTCGTTGCTTTGAACTAATCGGAAGCCACTTGTGCCGCGGCTTTCTAAATGCCTCGCGAGTTGCGTCCTTCCGTCTCCAGAATACCCACTCTCTTTGTGTACCCAGTGACTGAACAATTACTTTCGGCTTTGTGCTTGTTTCCTAAGCTTTGCTATTTACGTACATGAGGTTTCTAGTTACCAAACGAACTAGAATGCTCATATATAATATCCGGTTCAACCAACTGCATGCCATCAAATGCGCATTAAGTATAAGTGTATGGCACACTTACGCATGCCAACATATGTCGGTTAGTACATGAGGAGTGACCACATAATTGTTTGTTCTTATATACGAGTGTACTGCTTTATTGTATGATCAGTCGGCGTTTTTATGTTATCTGTTGGTTGTATACCTTAAAATACACTTCTTGTGTATTTTTTTGTAATAAGCTTTGTTACTGCATTATTAGTACATCAGCCATCAGCGTATATGTGAAGTTCAAATTACACTTGCGCTACTTTTTCTGTTGAACGTACAGTAGAATTATCGGACACAATTGACCGTGTCCGCGAAAACTTCAAATTAATGTTCTTTTTCTGTATTTTCGTTAAAATTATAATGAGCTCTGACATATGCAATTGACTCTTATTTTATAAATATCGCACATTTTGCGATTAATCCGTATTATACTTCTCATTTTTAATTGACCGTTGCAGATTTTATATGCCGGCCGTTGCTTGAATTACGATCAACACATCACGGTATTTTCCCTGTTCTTTTTCTTACAGTCGTTAAATTGTTTGAGTGTCATCGCTGTGTTGACTACTCTTTAACGTTCTCCTCTCTATTCTTACAGAGCTGGAAGCGCTCGAGTGCTGCAAATGGCTGAGAGCGGCAGGCTTTCCTCAATACGTCCAGATGTACGAAGGTAATTACCCCGACATTCAGGAAATCAATAGCGAAATATCGGTTACGAAATTCGCATTTATGTTTCAATTTTCACTTTTGATTTAAGAATTTATGCAAAACTTTATACTTTATTTCACGAATGTTAAATGTTGCGTGGCAATTAAAAGCTAAATGTTGCCGACAATAATATTAGAAACAAGAAATTTGAGGAGAATTTTTCCTTCGTTCATATTTATTATCTCGGTTGCCATTGCCGGTTTTAGTGATAATAATTCTTTTCTACTGTATTTGCTCTCTGACTCTTGCTTTATCTTGCTCAACAAGTTTAGCTTGTTGACTATTATCGCAGTTTGAAGTTTAGTTATGTAGCAAAATCGTGATGATATTGATGATTTTTTTTTAGTCTTGACGAACTTGTTCTACCTATTTTTTGTCCCACGAGTTTCGGTAAATGATGGCTGAACGCACGCTGATTGTTGTTTCCCTTCTACAATCATGGTGGTTTGGATACACAACAAGCGCTCGATCGTGTTGTTGCTGGCTGCAGTAGGTGCACGGAACTGGCAGAAAATTTCGCACATTTTTCACGCCAAGTAGGAAGAAGCTGTGACAACGGCAAGAGTTGAACAATTCAATTATGTGCGTGACTTTCACATCCCCTTTGCGTGCAAATCACGCTGAGCCGTCCTTCGTGATCGATTTAATTGAGCTGATTTCGCTCTTATTGCGAAAAATATAAAATCCATATTTTCATATGTTACTGACTTTCGCGCTTTTCCATAGAAACTATACCTATGGAAGAGTTCATTAAATCTCTAAAATGTTAGTCAATTTTTCTTATTAACAATGTTTTCTTCATTGCAAGCCGGAAAATTTTTGTTTTATACTTTATTTTATCAGTTCTTAAGGTATTTGTCAACAATTGACTCTCGCACGCTCAGAACGACGAGTTGTTGCGCATACACGTTTTTTTTTGCATTTTCTAGTCATTCGCTACACTCGAAATAACACACTAAATTTATTCGATTAACATAAAATGTCCATCATTTATGTAACTGCAAGTTTTTTAAAACATATTTTACAATGTGGACTTTTGCTCACTGGTGAACTAAGGAAAAATTGTCCTTAAACCTCACTCAAGTCATTGGAAGTCGTACGCCATAGCCACCTGCACAGGATATGTGCAAACGTCGCTCGTCGCTGCGGTGTCGTGCTCTCCTTATCTTTCTGTCGTTTTTCCTCGCGTTTGCTATGTTGCCCGTCCTCCCCTCTACCTCCCCTGGACACCCTCTGCTGGGGCATTACGTGACTCTCGAACCGATCGAACGCTCGAACCGAACGCGTGACGGTGACTTGTGCGAGTCCTTGTTTAGAGTGTTTTTGTGATCAGGGTTTCGGTTCAGCTGCATTGGTGGTGTGGTTTGGTGTTGTTGTGATCAGGGTTTCGGTTCAGCTGCATTGGTGGTGTGGTTTGGTGTTGTTGTGATCAGGGTTTCGGTCCAGCTGCATTGGTGCACGGTGTGGTTTGGTGTTGTTGTGATCAAGAGTTTGGTCCAGCTGCATTGGTGGCGTGGTTTGGTGTTGTTGTGATCAAGGGTTCGATCCAGCTGCATTGGTGGTGTGGTTTGGTGTTGTTGTGATCAAGGGTTCGATCCAGCTGCATTGGTGGTGTGGTTTGTTGTTGTTGTGATCAAGAGTTTGGTCCAGCTGCATTGGTGGTGTGGTTTAGGACTTTATATGGTGGTATGATCTAGGACTCGATTCAGCTGCATTCGTAGTGTAGTTTGGGTATTATATAGTAGAGATTACGTTCATGTTTCCTTATTGGTGAGGATGAGATGCTGGCGTGCTGGTTATACAGGTTGGTGTATCCTCGAGTTTGACTCGCGGAGATGTAATTAATATCGGCTAATGAATGTTGAGCATCGCCCTGCAATAGTCTGCGTTAATGGATGCAGCAGAAAATTATTTACTTGTCTCCTGTAAGTTATTTAGAACTGATATTATGTACGTCCTTACATCAATCATGTAATGTAAAGCGGTAATCGGACCGTCTTCAGTAGACCTGCTCCAAGCAATCGCTGCACTCCTGCCATATATTAACTTCCGGTTGATACCGTGCGTTGTAGCCAATATACGAGGCCATGTTGACCGCGAGTTGTTTGACAACAAGTTTCCCCTTCTCGGTTTTCCGGTGTAATTTTATGGCCTTTTCTTTTTCTGCCAGGAACTTCTAGTTTAGTTCATTGCGTCATGAGTGAGATCCCCGATATGATGCGTTCTTCTTTCCTACTGTCACGTGCACAGTTCATTTGATTTTACGCTCTCACATTATTTGAGCTGATTTGAAGTCGGTGTTCTTCCATTTAATACTTCCTCGTAGTAGAATATTAAATTTACGCTCAATTGCGAGGTTGTAAATATGTCCAAACAAAAAATCTTGCTTTTTTCAAACAAGAAACTTCAAGGAAATATAACTTCTCCGTTGAACGTGGGCTTGAAAGGATCTTCCTCCGGCTAATATTACTTTAAATAGTTGGATGGTTTGGGATAACGGAATTTTCACAAATCAGTGATTATATCTCCGCGTACGCTTGATTTCAGCTGCTAGCTAGTTTTATTGTAAATATTGAAAGGAGTGTTTCGATCTAAGGTTGCCTTTTTGTGTCTAATTAACGCATGATAAACTTCTGTCGGATACAAAATTGTATCCGTTAAATTAAATATTGGTAAATTTGCCGATGGTTGTTCACTGGAATTATAGCATTCTTTGATCATTGCCGACATAGCCTATTTGTTATACGTTGTATACGATAATCCCTGCTTATAGAATTTGCTGAGAAGTCAAAATTGTGCGGAATTAAAGCAGAATTTTATTAACATATATATAGGGATTACGAAGTAAATATATTCACTCAGTAAAGATTATTTTTGCAGAAGGTAGCGTAAGCAATAGAATATGACTCAAGATTATGATAGTGACAACGTTTTGTTATTGAAATGGAACAATGCACATGATAGAATATCTACTTTATAGGATACAACATTGACTTTCCTCCATGCAGTGAAAGATCAACAATTCTAAGTAGCTCGGACTAAGTTGGAGATTCATTAGGCTTCGCCTGAGCCTTCTTTATAAGAGGGCTCGTATTAAAGTGGTCTGGAACAACGAATGGCATATAATATTCTGTGAAAATCCAATAAACAAAAAAATTTCAAGTATCATGAAAAGCATATCTACTATTTTCAGTTCCCATTAGATGTCCGCCATTGATTTAAACGCCTCAAAGTCTCTGTGATTAATTGGAGTGCATTCATGAATCTATTTATTCTATATCATTGGTCGTTATTTCCCTAAATTTTATGGGCATGTATTAAAATGTGTCTCTTTTGATTGACTGAAGTACCCCAAATAATAGTTTTTGCGCGTGCGAAATTTGTATGGAATTTTTTCTTTTTCGTATTCCGTTTTCTTAGTTCAGCGAAACGTTGCTGTTAAAAGCTGCACTGCTTGCAAAAAATTAGCGCTGTGTTAATAGAAACGGCGATAACGTCTCGAACATATATATTAATAAAATAATGCGCAAGCGGAGCTAACACGAAAGGCAATGTTCCGTGCTCAATGCCGGCGCTGTATTGGAAGAAGTGCGCGCAGCGGGGTAAATTCCTTCTCAAGAGTGGGCAGAGTCTTTTTGGAACCAATTAATTCCGTCTTCTCAATAACCCATGACAAGCAACATGGTGAAACGAGCATCGTGCCCCTGACATTGGGTGAGGATGATGAAGCTACTTAGCATTGTTTGAATGATAATTACACACTATTGCCACCTGAAATCATATTGCTGCTGAATCTGTTCATTGTACTTTCGATACTTCTTTCTGATTTTTCGAAACCTCGATACCTTTCGATACTCTCATTGTACTCGAGATACCTTCGCATAACCTTAATGTCGTGTTGTGACCCGAATACTCGGTAGCCTTTGGAAAACGTTCCCATGGAGAACGTCTATGAATAAGCTATTGCTTTAATGCCATCGTCAGACTGATGCGTCAATAGTTAGCTTAATGACGATCTTTGCGCGATGTGTTGTTGTTGTTGTTTATTGGCGTTATATCTTTATCGATGTTTCGGGCTTTGTTCTAACAATATCTCGATCTTCGCTTGCTGTTATTAATTATTGTGGTAGCGCAAATATGTTGAATCGAAAGGTCTCCTCAAGCTTGGGGGAGAAGGTTTCCTTTGCAACTTATCTCTGCTCCTCATCCTGTGCACCTCGTTGTTGCGCAGTTTATTCTTGCAAAAGATATTTTACTCAATGTTAGTTAGGTAAAGCAACTAATTCATTAGAAAATATTCGTTTCCTATGCATCTGAAACATTTTTCTTATTGTATTTTTCCTCGAGCTGACACAAAGACTTGTCTACAGCAGAGAGCGTTCTCAAGAAGAAAAGCACTTCTCAAAACTGGCTAATTTTTTTAATATATCGAATTAATACATTAGTTTTTTGCGCAGGCATGGAGTTTCCAGTGGACGTGGAAGGAGCACGTCGCGATCACAGTTTCTTGAGCGAAGGCGAGCTGAACGCCTTCACCAAACGTATCGTCACCCTCAACAAGTGTGCCAGGGTGCGCTTCGATCACAGCACCGTTAAAAAGGTGAATCTCGTCTCCGTGCTGGCACTGTTAGCAGACTCTTCGAACGATGCAATACTCTATACGCAGTAATTTGATGATCTTGTTTCGACCGCCATATTCTTTTCTCTCGATAATTTGAAAGTTGACAGAATGCAGATTATTACTTTCAAACATGACTGCTTTACCTCACGGGCGTTCGTGATTCAATTTAGTGCTGGTCTTGTTAGTAAAATGTTTATCAGATGAATTTATTTTGCGCTGTCTCATATCATTGAAAACCCAGCCTTCTGACCATTCTTTTTCTCTGACTCCTCTTAAAATAGATATATTTTTATAGTTAATTTATTTGAGAAACTAGACATTTTGGTAATTCATTATATTGGAATATATATTTCTATAGTTAATTTATTTAAGAAACTAGACATCGTGGTAATTTTCTCTTGATGTTTGGCTCCTCGAGGACGATGACTCAGACGACGAAGAGCAGCAGTGCGCGCTGAGCAGCAACTGGCACTTCGAGCGCAACTCCAGACGTTGGTCACGAGTGGGCGCTGAACCCGGTCAGTAATCATTTACATTCATCATAATCTATTATCTCGTTTTCCGAACAATTCGCTTTGTTTAAGATGTTGCATTTAATGAAAATTGCATCAAAATTGTAGAACCGGTTAAATGAAATTGAACATTTATCTAAATCATCAAAATTAACTCGTATTATATCAACATTACCAAATACCAATCGTCCCAGCGCTTTACACAGACATTCAACAATAAAATTAGCCCACTTGCGATAAGTTTAAAATTGGAGTTTAACCACCATCGTTCATCTCGAGAGAACTGTTTAAGAAACAATGAGCTTCTTTTTTTATAATTTTTCGACATTCACTTTTCCCAGACTTTTGCATAATTCTCTGCAATCGACATTCGCTTCCAACAGGCACGCACTCAATACTGCATGCGCGTGCTGTGTTCCCATTTTGTTTTTTATTCAATTGTTTTTTTGCGAATAATGAACGACACAAGCCGCCTCACGTTTGCGAGAAAATAAATCATTGTTTCAATCACTTTTTGTTTCATTTGTGCGTCTAATTCAATTGTAGTCTCTCTGTATGTGATCCAAGTGCTACTGTTTCTATTGAAGGCAACGCCTAATTGAACTTTTCTTGTCAATGTGGTTTGTTCTAGGTTTTTTTTTTTTTTTTTTGTACCGCTCCTTAAGGCTATTTGGTAGTTTTTTTGGAGCATATTGTTTGGATTTCCTGTGGCCTTTCGATGGAAACAATCGAAATTGCATTTACAATGTGCCTTTAGCAGCCATGAAGTTTCTATATTTCAGTACGATTCCTTGTACCGGATTGAGTGCCATTGTTCTGAATAAATGTTATGTTTCCTTTTGTTTTAGGGAATCGGATTCGATCCTGATTATTTTCTTTTATTCTAAGGCCACGTGCGTGTTCAAAAATTAGTTCAAACATTTTTATTTCACTTATTCGAGGGTAACGTCCTGCATGACTCTAAAACATCTTTGATTTTGTATAAAAAGTTTATCTAGCTCTATGCTCATATTTGCATTTAAATTGCTCATGCTTTCACCTATTCAGCATCGAAAAAAAACACCTTAGAATATATTAAAGAAATTAAACAGTTCCATTTTCAGAAAATAAGTGGCGTTCGATACGCAATTAAGATCTACAATTATTATCTGAAATCAACTAAAGATGGATTTTATCGAGGTATCCCGGTAAGAGTGGATGAATGACCTCTTCCTCTACTCACATTTATATTTTACCGATATAGTGCTGTGTTGGTCACGTTGAGCCAATCATCCTTCGGCCAGAATCTATGTTTGCCAAGGTTTCCTATTTGGCGACAAACTATTCTGAAACAACACGCCTCAGGGATAAAGAGATAAGTTAATCGATAATGTACTGTTTACTTCCTGTAAACTAATTGATTATTGATTAATTCTTGAAGGAATTGTGATGCCCAACATAACATCCGAGTCTCAGGACGGTTCAGTCCTATTCCCCGTCGTCTGCTTGGCTCGTGACTAACTATCTTGTGACGAGCGCGGCAGTTGAGCGCGTGCCGTTGTTGAGGCAGGTTATGTGCCCTCGTGTGATGAAGACTTCCGACTCAGGGCCACTTCTATTAAAATTATTTAAAATTGCTCAACTGCTGGTCGGGGTGTTAAAGTTTTGAGACAGCCATTGTTCAACAGCTAAATATTGTGAAATGTTAATTAAACATGTGACAGCTATCAAACCTGAGGCTTAACACATACGTCAGAAGTCCTCTAAGTCATAGTTTGAATGTAGGCGTAGACAAATTTTTATCATTTTTGTAAAGCGTTTGGTGTGCATTAATTTAGAAAATCTGTGACACTCTATCGCTCGACACAAGTATGAGATATATGTCTGAATCAAGCTGTTGGATAAATCTACAGGATATTAACCGAATTACGACATTCCAATGTCCAATGATTGTGTTCCATCATCCAATTTCAATCCCACGACCACTAAAGAATCCCACTTGTATTTAAAATATAAAATAACCAAGATCTGCTTGTATACATGCATCCAGTTCTAGAAACAAGCGTTGCAGTTTTGATTACTTCGGCCAAGTTTAGTGAAACGTCGTGCATACAATTATTATTAACCACTAATATAATTAATTAGTGTGATGAATGTCACTCACGTAAGAAATTGTATAATCTACTGATTAGACTTATTGTCTTCAGAACGGTTGCGTGGTTTCATTTCAATGATACTAGTTGTTACGTATTCAGTTTGAGCCCCAGCATTGATGCTTCATGAATGAATACTTAATGAAAATTACAAACTAATAAATATACTAAGACTGTGCCTAAAAGTGAACACTTGTTAGGTTAATTATTTGTGTAATGTTATCTACTCAATCGGTTTTGGGAAATATCAAGTTTCAGTTAAGCCTTTGAAGCAATCACCTTAAATAAAATACCTCTCCGTGACGTTGCTAAACGACGTAAACGTAGACATGCTTCAAACTTCAATTGTTGTGAGCATTCGTGAGTACGGTATCTCGCTAGTCGCTTGTAACTCTTTTGTTTTGTTATCATGATAATACGATATAACGCATAATTATCATACGGGCACAAATTAAAAATGCAACGACTACATTTCATTTAAATGTGGGAGTAAATTTACTTTTATTTTTGCTAAAGTTCTTACTTACAATCCTGCCAAAAATATCCCACAGTCGACGATCTGTGCAACATTTTTTCAGTAAGATTTTAAGAACTAAAATGATTTGACCAGCTTTTAGTCATATTAATTTTATTTAGCGCTTGCGTGGCCCTTGCTATTTATCTCTTTAAACTTCCATACCATCTTGAATGTTGCTTGTGACTTTGATGACTCCACTATTATTCAAAAATTGAAATGATGATATTCCTTTGTCGCTGTCGTTGCGGTTCCAAACTTGTTCTATCCATTACATAATAATTGTGATGTCGGTCTCGCTTGTTTCATTGTATCGTCGAATATTTTTTTAAAATAATTTTAATAAAAGATCATAGTTATGGTAGTTCACAAGTAATCAACGACGAAGTCCTTGATTGGTAAATCAACATTTATTTTGTCACTCATTTTCTCATCAAGTGTGTGTGATTTACAGAAAGCAGAATGCTGGACGTAGCAGCACCTCCCTTCAAGCGCTCGGGCTCTGAGCGTATCAAGGACAGGGCCAAAGAGCTGCTCAGGAGAGTCGAGTCTATGAACACGCGCAGAAAGAAACGACCTGCGCGGGATGGCAAGCTGCGCATGCGCGTTGGTGCACCTATTGTGAGTCTTATTTTAATATTGACGAGCTGGTTAGCCTGGCGCTTGGCCTCGGTAATACGTGTTATTATTGAATCTTGCTATACGGCGGAGTTCGAAAAATAATCATAACGCTATTGTTTGTTAACTAAAGAATGAATCGTTCAAACGTAGCTCACAGAACTCTCGTTTGATTCTCGTTTCAAAATGGGAACAAATTTGATCTATATCAAAATAAATTTTGATACTCCAATTCCAAAACCTAATTTATTTTTCAATCCAATTTTTTCCTCCGCTTTTTATAATACCTCACTGTTCTACCACCATGAATAAATTTTCAGGTCCAGGTAATATCTCAACACGGTAAGTATCTTTGATACGTGCTGGTTGATTAGTGAGTTTCTTGAGGTTAAGGTAAGTATCATAGATACGTGTTCGTTTATTAGTTAGTCTCCTGAGGTTAATCTCTTTATTGGGAAGTGACTGTAGATATTTGTGCAGATAAGCGACCCTGCAGCTATGGAGAGCCGCGTCGCAGGTCTTGCGTGCGTGGACCTGCCCAGGCAGGACGCGGGCGACGATGTCGCTTCATCCCTACGCGATGCCCACGTGGCTCCTCGACATCGCAGCCTCTCCAGACATGCTCACTCTCAGGGCGAAGTGAGCAATCAATCTCAAAATATATTTAATCGACGAAATTATTACAGGCAGTAGAGCAGTGTTATACTATCAGTCGATTTGTTCTCTGTTGTTATAGCAAGAAATTTTGTTGGGCTTAATGAAAAAGTAAGGAAATTGTTAATAAAACGCGTGCTCTGGTCTTCAATCAAACCTGCATAAATATGTACTTTGTTCTGTTTACTTCCCATGCTACTTCCGGGTTGTGACGGTTAGGCTAAAATGGTCACCGATTCTTGATATATCGAGCGGAGTCGTGAGCGTAAGCGCAGTATTCTCATGAAACGGTAATTTAGAACTAAACTGTTTGTGTTACAGGATTCCTCTTCATTGACATCGGACCAATCACAAAACTCTACTCCACTTTTCCGTTCACGGCGCCGTAAAAAGTTTTTGCCAAGCCACGACGAAACGAGTGGTCACGGTAACCTGAGTGACGTGAGTGGCAAGAGTGGCGGTCACGACGGCAGCTCCAGGAGTGGCGAGAGTGGTACTGCGTTCAGCGACTCTGAGTGCTCGTTGCCGACCAACAGAAGTGGTGACCACAGGCTTACGCAGGTCTTTACGAAACGTTTTCCCTGGCTTTTTAATTTATGTAATATAGTACTTCTTTTAATATGTAAATGATATATTATATATGTGTAGCCGTAATAACATCAAGAGTGCTGAGTGATATTCTTATGAGTGGATATATTCGTCTTGGTTAAAAATGGTCTGTAAAATTTTCTCCCGCGATCGTTTGAACGGGCCGGTTTTATTATATACCTTGTATGTGTTCCCTGATTAGTTGCTGTATTTGTTTATATAGTTTGTATTTAAAAAAAGCCAGTATGATGTCGGAATTGACGTGATCAAAGTAATTCACCATTATTCATCGTCACAGCATATGTCCCCGAATAAAAAGTTTTCCTTCACAGCAGTACATATTAGAAGTATTGAAAATCTGTTATAATATCTCTGCGAGTTGCAATTTCCTCCAGCGAAAGTCATTTTGTACAGTGTAACGAATGTTAACTCCTCCAATTCTTGGTAATGAAGAGTTCTTACCACTGCTGATCTAGTAACTTACAGTTCATTCAAAATAATATTCTCATCGAAATTATTAAGTATCTCGTACGATAATTGCACTTAAAGTGGGATGCGGGCTAGAGTCTGTATAGTGATAACTAACTTGTTGTTGTTGTCTGCAGGATCTTATGATGATTGCACTTGAAATGGGATGTGGGCTAGAGTCTGTATAGTGATAACTAACTTGTTGTTGTCTGCAGGATCTTATGATGATTGCACTTGAAATGGGATGCGGGCTAGAGTCTGTATAGTGATAACTAACTTGTTGTTGTCTGCAGGATCAGAACAAGCTGCGAGCTCAGCTGTCAGCTGAAGGTGCCCTAGAGAGCAGACAGGAGCATCTGCCTCTCCAGCACTCCAGTTCTATCAACGTCCCGTTTGGGCTGGCTAACCCTCCGCCCACCAAACAACAAATGCTCATCAATAATAGAAGTTAGATTTTACTGTCACAGTTATCAAGTAACTTATAGTTTCATGTAAAATTACCTAAATGCAGTATTTTTCTGTGCCATATTTGTTAACTCATTTATAAAAAGATACAATGATTCAAATTATTCATCAAAAAATCTGATATTCTGAAGTGCAGACGTTTATTAAATGGTTCTTGGATTCCTTTATATAGTTACATACATTTATTTAAGCTACCTATTTAGGACTATGAAGCTACTGCCCATCGAAACCTATAAATGATTACTCATCTGGTTGCACTTGACGCTAAAAATGGTAAAATTTTAGTATTTCAAAAATAATTTAAACAATATGAACAATCTTTGAAAATAATTCCTGTAAACCGTGAGTTCCGGCTGTTGTTGCTTTTTTAAAGTTCCTTCAATTCCGAGCAGAATAAACGAAACATGCCGAAATGATTTTAGTTTCGATTAATTGATTTTTAATCTGTTGCATGTACATTTGTTGGTAACATTAAAGGCTTAATGAAGGCAAATGATTTCATCAGACAAGAGCATGAGCTGCTCGCCGCTGCCTCCAGCGAGCTCTGGGGACGAAGAGCGTCATTCCATATACGACAACGTGCCCATCATCATCTGCAATAAGAGCTACCATGAATACCAGCCTGACGTCACCATGCACTCAGGTATATATACGCAAGTTTGACAACTTTTTTATTTAATGAACAACAATTCACTGAAGAATGTGCACCACATTAAACCAAATTGTTTTTTGAAAAATTGTTAAGATCATTAATTTTTTGGCCATGGTGGTATTTATCCTGATGTTTATCTTAGTTATATTGCTGCTTTCGATGTCACATTATTTCTTAATTTTTAAGGGGAGCGTCTAGGGTAAAATTTATCTCGGCTATTCACAGACGGATCACTCTGAAACTTGGTACATATATGTAGAACAGAATTCTAAGACATTTTTGTTCGTGTGAATTTTTCGAAAAAATGAAAGAAAACGTGAAATTCTTAGAAAACGGCCAAAAAAGGGGGTACTGTAGAAATCTATCTCCTCCTAGGATTTCCAAGCTACAACATCGAGACACGTATCATTCGATGCGTAAAGACCATATCTACAAACGTCACTTAGCGGTTTTTTGGATTTCTCATTTTTGTGGGTGTGGGAGCATTTTTTCCGATATTTTTCGAAATTTTTCGATTTTACCCCCGCCCTCCCCCACTTTTTGCAAAATAAAATCCGAATAATAACGAAATTGGAAAAACGACAAAGTGAAGTTTGTAGATCTTTCATTTTCTAATCGAATGGTATATGTCTCATTGATGTAGCTTAAAAACTCTAGGAGGAGATAGGTTTGCAGTGACAATAAGTTAACTTTTCAGTAGAGCCCGTCAAAGTCCCGCGCGCATCAGAATAGGCACTCAATGTAGCAAGGATACGAAACTAAACGTTACTGGAGCTTGATTCAAGTCAAGGATGGTGGGAGCGACTGCATGCACACCTCCTCATACGACGCCAGGCGGGTAACTAAGATGCACTTCAAGCAGACACTCTATTTAAAGTGCTCGCAGCGAATTTCCTCCCATTCAATTTGTTAAAGAACTACCCCACCCCCCTCCCTTTCATGATCTGTCGTGAACGCATAAATAAACGTACAGATATGGCAGTGGTACCGTTGGATAGGGCAGAATGTCAGCTTTAAAATGAGTATAAAAACCGAAAAAGTGAAAATTTTCAATTTTAGGGTAGACGCTCCCCTTAAACCTTAAATTGTCATAAATATGATTAATTTTTTAATTTTATGAATGTGTGAAAATTTTGCTTCTGTGTTATGAAATGATAGGGTACCGTACTCATTTTTGATATTTCTCAGGTTTGAAAAGTGCAAGAGAAGGTTCAGGCAGCAGCGAGGGCTTCCCTGCTGACAGTCGCGACTCTCTCTCACCGGCCGACCACGAGCTTGCCTTCGTCGTCTCCGCGGCACAGCATCTCGACGTGCTGCAACCCAAGAGGCGAGTCATATCAATCATTGTCTCTAATTTGTATCTCTGACAAACGTATGATAACTTATGTATTACTTCAACGCCATTTGATCCTGGAACTAAAAACTTTTAAAATCAAACTCAATTAATTAGCCCGCTTAAGTTTGCGTTGCTTATATTTCATTTACTTTAAAATTATAATATTTAGTTTAACGCTGGTTGCTATTCAGCAGAAGAAACACTGTGGACCGTTGGCACAGCTTCAACAGCGGCAGCCGACGTTCGACATACTCCTGCGACAAGGGCATGCCCATCTCGCACTTTAGTGCCGGACAACTGCTCATACTTAAGAAACGAGCCTTGTTGAGGTAATGTTTGCAGATCAGCATAAATATTATTGAAATATATCTTTTGCTAATGAATTACCAAATTTCTGAAAAAATATTCTTGAATCGAAAGCTTCAGTTTAGTATCACTGTTATCAAATCAAAATTATACTTTACTCTATTTAAATCTAATAATTAGAAGGAAACTCACAAGACCATTTTCTATAATGGTCGACACGATGGAATTAAAAGACACTTATATTGCCACAAGTTGTTAGTCGATTACTTTTGAGGAATTTGACCGGATATCTATTTTCATGCCTATGATAATTTCATGTCATCATTTGTTTCTGCAATAATTTCTGTATACTACTTTATCTGCACGGGCAGGTTGACTGCCCTCATGGAACACCACTGCCCCTCTCGTCCGTCATGGAACTGGGAGCTTCCCAAGTTCATGTTAAAGAGGCTCAGGCCTTCCGACGCCAAGACTTCTCCTGCAGTCTTCGGTGTGAGCCTTCACGTCACTCAACGTAAAACGGGCTACCCGCTGCCGCCGGTCATCATGGAAGCTCTCAGCTACCTGCACAAGTCATGTTCTGACCAGGTATGCTCAATTGAATGTTCAAATTATTATAATGGTATACGCATGATACGCGATCATTTTAAACTATGTATCTTATCAAAAGAATCATTCGTAAACAATATATGTCACAAAAAATAAATGGTTACATTCTTCTCGTATTTTCGAAATTTTCGGCACTAGCAAATATGAAATACGCATTTGTGTTGAAAAGTTGTCACTATTTCCGGAACTTGAACAATTGCCAGACTATATCCACATTTCTTCCGTAAACTGTGTTGAATTTTTTTTGAAATTATCGGAACTGGAAAACTTGATGAAAAGATAACAAAATAGTCACGATGCACCGTATTAAAATAATGAAATTCAACAAGTTACTGCAATAATTATATAATTTAAATGCTTACAAGAGTTTAATTTCCGATATAATTTTCTTATTTAAACAAATATTGACTAGGAACTACATTTTTAACAAGAAAGTAATATTTACAGGTGGGACTTTTCCGCAAACCCGGCGTGCGCTCCCGTATACAAAAACTTAGAGAGCTAATTGACCAAGGGGAGACGGTGGACTTTACGACCTACGGTGCTTACGACGTCGCAGACATGGTCAAGACCTACTTCAGAGAGCTCCCTGAAGTTCTCCTCACCAACAAAATCTCTGAACTTTTCCTCGCTATTTTTCATTGTAAGTCGTGAATTGATTCGTCGAGCTCAGAATAACCAAAACGATTATTTTCATGAAAGATAAATGAATCAATAAAAGCAAATATGAAAATAAGTGGCGACAAAATTATCTAATTATTAAGAAGTTTGGTATAATGAATAAATAGAAATAAAAATTTTAAATACTGAATAATGAGCGGTAAAAAAGTTTTAAAAATATTCATTAATTTTTGAGTTTACATTTTTGGTGAGTGTTTTAACCCCAGATCTCCGAATTTTTGACCCAACTACTGTATATCGTCATTAAATCTGTTTGTGCATGGTTATCAGGTTATTATTTGTTACAGAACCAAGAAGACTAATGTGTGTTAGTTCAATAATTCTAAGACCTCGCATTGTGGTTACTTAGGACACTAGGTCACAACTGCTGGAATTTATGTCGTGGTAATTAAAGGATTTCTGTGGACGATATTTAACTGTCTGTTCGTTGTCTTCACTCTGCGTATTCAAATCAACAGGAAGTTTTTTGACAAGTGTTAATTGATTTTATCGTCTGCAGATCTCCCAGAAGCTGATCGCTTGGAGGCGGTACAGTGCGGGCTCTTGATGATGCCTGATGAGAACAGAGAAGCCCTCATGACGCTTCTGACTTTCCTGGCCAAAATAGCAGATAATTCAAGCCTTAATCAGGTATTTTCAAGTTTTTTATTTTTGTGTTTACTAAGTTTTCATTTTGCTTTCATGTGTCATGGGATTGATTTCTTGCAGAAAGTAACCCATAATAAAGCAATAATAGCACGATAAAGCGACATAGCACGATCCATATTATATGCATTTGCCGACCATAAAGTTACTTTTGGTTTTTATTACAAGTTGTTTCGTTCTGGTTACCATCTGGCAATCATGCATTTTATTGGCTCGTTTCAATTAGAATCCGTTGGAAATGGAATTGTATTAATATGACATGATGAAAACATTTGAGCGTACAATTTAGTTATTTCTTACATATCTTATATGTAATTACTAATAATGTAAATCATATTCACCTGACCATTTCATTCCTGAAATATTGTTATGGTTCTGTAGATGACGGCTAGTAATCTGGCTGTGTGTCTTGCACCTTCGCTGTTCCATTTATGTATTGGTGGAGTTGGTGCAAGTCCGCTGAGAAGAAAGAACACGAGCGGAACGCCCGAGCAGAAAGACTTGAACGACAATAAAGCCGCGCACGTGTGTCTCCAAGCCATGATACAGCAGGTAAACTGTTCAAAAAAAATGCCTTGTTATATATTCGACGTCTATTATTTACATTAGTTAAATGATTTTTCATTATTGTCATATATGTATAGTATTATACACTAACATTGAACTTTGACCGTACAGGCACAAATAATATAAATATCATATTTTACTCTGTCAGTTTCCTAAGGAATATTGGTTATGCCAAAGTTTTACCAAATTAAGCAGTCTTTAAAATTTTTGTTTCTACTAACTCCTGTATTTTTATTCCTTATTTTTTGTTTAATCGATTCATGACTGTGCAGGTTTCAGAAATTGACTTCGTCAGGGCGGAGACATTAAGTAAAATATCCTTCACTTACCTGGAAAATAGCCAGCCTCTGCATGTGGAAGATTTAGGCCTGTCTTCCACTTATCCATCGCACCACACCACCACGGAGGACGGGCAAGAGACGGGAGATAAGACCGCCGTGACACAACACAGCTCAGACTGGGCCGCGTATATGGACTCTTGTATAGCGGCGCTTGTTAAGGAAGTCAAGGAAAAGTGAGTGATGTGCTCGCAATCCTGCAGATTGAGTCGCATTATGAAAAAAAAACAGCAACGGTACAGAACACCACCGTTGCTGGAGGATTATGTCTGTTTCCGATGTGAACACTATATCGTGCAAAGGTTTCTCTTCATTATTGCACATCGAATATGCATAAATACATTTGATCAATACGTATTGTACAATTGCATTGTGCCGTGTAGTCTGCACCGAATAGTCTCTAAAACATGAATTGAATCGCAGAAAGAAGGAAAACCTATAGTCCGGAAAACCCCAAAAGAAAAATTGAATAATTGTAACTATACCTAAAATGTCAATTACTAATCAATACAAATAAGTACTATTCCCTAACACCGTTCACTGCATGAGATCGATTATCCAAATTCGATTTCCACTTGCATACGAGGTTTAATAATTACCTTATGCTGAGCAGGAATCGTGGATACGTGTCAATTATGTCTCCCGACCCCGACGTTGAGGTGATATATAGGAAGGTGGGCGATGGTCACCCCTTGAGGTTATGGAAAGTCACCACTGAAGTAGAGGCACCTCCCGCTGAACTGCTCACCAGAGTTCTGCGCGAAAGGTACAAGAAGAAGTGGCAATAACTATTTGCACATTAATGCCGTTGAATAGCCTCGAAAAATTCCGTCGTTGTTCTGTCATCCAGTCAGTTTTCGGATTTTCATTATTTTGTATGGAACCTGTTCCTTATTACTCGGTGTTGGCAGGCACGTGTGGGACGACAGTCTGGTGAGATGGAGAGTCATCGCAAGACTCGACCATCAGTCGGACGTGCTGCAGTTCATAACAAAGTCCATGCCACCAAAGCCACACAATGATTTCTGCGTGCTAAGGTACAAGTCAGTTGATAGAAATGTTTCAAAATAGGAAAGAAGTTATTACAAATTCCTTGAAGTTTTTTCTTCCCCCTTACGCCTAATATTTGATGTAAAAATGATTTACCACAAAAATTTTTTGTGATTACCATTTCCATAGTATTAAGAACGATTCATTTAAACGACACAAATTATATAGATACTCAGAAATGTATGTTTTCAAATGGATCATTTTAAGAAAACAATTTATGGTAGACTATTCTAGGCCGAGTTAAATACAAATTCTAATTTTTTTACCATCTGGTTACAAACTGCCTTCGTTACGGAAATTTCATCCACTAAAACAAGATCACCGATAAAATTTTCATTTTCGCATTGCATAAATGTATACCTTAATTTGAACTCTCACCTGGAGCTTGACGTACGAGACGCAATTATTTATTAGGAAATATGTTATTCCTTGCCGAAATTTGTGTGTAATGCGTATGAATGAAAGTTTTTACTCCAATGAGTGTAAGGAAAAGTTTATACATCGGCCGACATTTCAATTCGTGGTAAGGAACTGACGTGAAGCGAACATTAACATCAAGTTTTCGTGTTGAATTCTCCTATTCTCTGTTTGGGAAATGAAAGCAATAAGGCCTCTTGGTTTTCTCGAGACAGACTTACTAAATTAAGCATGTTACTCAGATGTTGGCGCAGTGACATGGGCCGCGTAGGGGGAGCCTGCGCTCTGGTGGAGACCTCAGTGGAGCATCCAGACGCCCGCCTCGTGGACGGCTGCACGCGCGGCGTGGTGCTCGTGTCGCGCTACTTCATCCAGCCCTGCGGCAGCGGCAAGTCCAGAGTCACGCACGTGTCCAGGATTGATCTCAGGTTTGTTTTTTCAGAATTTATACTCGATTTGGCTGAAAAAAAAATGAAATAATGACATCGTAGAAGAGTAAACCGGAATCGTTGTCGCTCCATGTTTGCACTTTTTAGCATTCATCTGGTATTGTCTCTGTTTGTTCAAAAATTACAGAATAAATATCTTTTTCTAACATTACGTAGCACCATGCCCTATTGGAAAATGTTAATCATTTCACTATTTTTTTATCTAACAGAGGAAGGTCCCCTGAATGGTACAACAAATCGTACGGCGCTCTCGCAGCGAGAAAAATCGCTCGTTTGCGCGACAGCTTCAAGCATTTCGCTGAGGGGCCTGAGAGCAAAGTTTAGCACCGGTTTACCGATCGCTGAGTTTAAGAACAACATTCCTGTGTGCCAGAAAATATATATTTTTAACGCAATGCCAGTGTTCAATCAATCATGTCTATCGTAAGCCTTGGCTACGAGTAATTTTGAAGAATTTAAAACAAATTTCGGGATCAAATAATATACTTGAGTTACCTGAAGCGTGCCATCATATTGCGTAACTTTTCTTTGCCTGCGTCTGAAATTTTTTTCTGCATAATTATAATGTACCATGCGGATTTTGTCATAACTTGTGAAAAGGAATGGAGTGGGATTTGACAGTCCATTTATCATTGCAGTGTGAACGTTCTTTTACCATAACTAAAATACTAGGGATTTTAGTATTGAGTGTGCAATGAGACACGATATTTGCGTTTGAACTACCGGTACTTACAAAACTCGACGCTCCACAAGCGGTTATGTTCGTTCTAAGAATAGCCAGCTTAAATTGCACACAACCGACAAAAAACTATTTTTGTGATGCTTAGTGTCTGCTCATTCTCATAAAAACACTGGCTTCACATTCAATTTTCTACTCCGTGCTGAAAATCAAGAATTTCAGAAAAAATCAGTATGACCTAGAAACGTGAGACGAGCGTTTCAGTGCAGATCTACTTCAGCGTTATCAAGATATTAGTTGTGATTGAGCAAAGCATTAGTTGCAGGCCTTCCAGATGCTGCCAATCTATCCTTTATTGTATCACTTTGTTCTCCTTATTTTATTCATGTTCATGCTTGTAAAACGTCAATTGAATCCATTCCAGAGTTGGCCTATTTACTGTAGATTCCTGAAGTCTTTCTTAATCTGGCTTACAGTTTACAATTTGAATTTTTCCCCTACTTGAGACTCATGAATTGCCGTGATTATGTCTATATATGGATGAATCCTTTGTGGTTGCGTCTTAGAAACGACTGTGCATTTCTTGCCCCAGAGCTGTTCCGTTGCAGCTTCGCTAGTCAGCATTTAATTAATAAGATAAACGTTTGTTTTATGGTATAAAACTTTTAAGAAAACCTGTGAACTTGTAAATCACTGGAGAAATACAGTGTACAGATAACTAGTGTGTACGTCTTTATAGATTAGAAGTTGTTACGAACCTGCGTGAGGAGCGAGATTTCGTCTCGCATCGATTTCTAAATGATGTTATCGCGTACGAAAGTGGTTGACATATTCGACTCGTGTCTTCAGCGAGATCGCGTGTTTGCGTAGCTCATCTTTAAAATTGTCCGTAAATTCATCAGCAAAAAGTTAAGGTCAGCAAGAACTTAGTGTTCAATTTAAACATGGAGGTTTCATGTGCATCAGTTCATCTATTGCTGACAATATTGTTGTGCGTCTTACGATGCATGTACTGGGCAGACCCCAATAGAGTATCGACTGTTGTTGCATCTCATGAGATGACACTTTCATAACCTTAGTCGAGTTCTTTGCTCCTGCAATCTGTGTGTCTTCCCTTTATATCAAAAGTAATGATGTTTATATTTCTACTTGATGTCGCGTAGTAAATGACGTGTTAGTAACATGCGTACATTTATTACTCTTTTGATCGACTGGACCCAGACCCTTGATTACCGCTTACGTTGATGTTTAATATCACCGAAAAGAATAACTTTCATGTTGTCAGACCATACAAACAATTGCTGTGTAATTGTATTAAACTTATCAGAATAATACTTACATTCCACGAGCATTTTGTAAAGTTGAATGACATCTGTTGGCGTGAGCATCGTTAGGTTAGAGTCAAAAATGCATGGAAAAGTTTTTTATTTACGAAATCCATTGAACTATTCAGTGTTAGGGTTTCCGACAGACGAAAGACCAATCATTTAGAACTGATGTTATTTCATTTTAAAAGCGTTGAACAACAATGCTCTATTCTATGCATGTGGTTCGTCAATTAAAGAAATAGCGCTTTGGTGCTCAAAGTAAATGTTTATCAATAGTTTATGGAAGAATTGAACCATTTCAATACTGGTTAATAGCAAGTTGCTTTTTGGACCAAGATTTGCTATGTAGTTGTTCCACGCGGGTGATTTGGCTAAAAGTGAGCTTGGAATTTGTGCATCATGTTTGTTGTGAAAAGAATTATTAGACAGAACATTGCCAGTGTATTTTGTATGATGTCTACATTCCTAGTCTCAATTTTGGGTAATTTTTACCTCGATAGTAATAGATATATCTGTGTAAATACCATTTTATTTTTGTTACATACTTCTTACAATTTCATCACTTTATCGTTACTGTTGTATGACCAGATTTAGGATATCTACTGAATTGTTTGATTATTGAAAAAAAAAATTAAATTTGGTACCTTGGTATATTTGATTAGTCTATGCTGTCAAGAAATATGCTCATTAACTGAGCATTAGTAAAAGCTCTATCACTTATGAATGTCACCTTAGTCCAGACCTGATCCTTTTACTGAAATTACCATATTGGCTATTTATTTCATTTTTCGCTAACTCACCTTGCTGCTATATTTTTTGAATATATTGAACGGATTTTAGTTTTTTTGTCTGTTCGTGATTCGACCAACTCTTCTCCGCAATACATAATCTTCATACCTAATCGCATTTAATTTACCTATGATTTTGAAGTGCATCATTTAATGTCTGTCCATGTGGGGTCCAGAATCATGGTATTTCCAATTCATTCACTCCATTGAAAAGACGCCCGAGAGTTGCAAAAACTAAGAATCTGGTTTTCATTATTTTGAAAATTATTTACAACAGCTTTTGACTTGGAGTATAAAAATTATCGAATATTTTTTGGCGATTCGATTTCCAACGTAAATTTTGCTGTGTCTTGAAACCGTCAATTGCTCAAATCTTTAGAATGTATTTGATAGCCCTCATTTTCACGCAAATAATCCAAGATTCAGAAAAATTTCGTGATGAATATTAGGAAGAATGTGACCAACAATGAACAACAGTGCCCCAGCGAGCAACTTCAAGGCGATAAATTTTTTTCCTATTATCATCAAAGAGATGATGAAAAATTTCATAAATGAGCCATGCAGTTTCAGTCTATAGGAATTTATTATATCCCAAACGTTTTGCTCGACAAGGTAGATAACTCTTGTGCTGGGCGCCTAGAGAACTAATGGCCGGGTGGTTTGGCCCAGCCTTCGCGTGGAGGCGTTTGGCAGCTCTTGGCAAGCCAGCCTTCAATGGGAAGGACGAGCCAGCGCATAGCACTCGTGAGTCTTGCAGCCGCATTCACTTCATGATTCTCACAGTAAATTTAGTGATAAAAGTAAGGCCTTGTGAAACGATGATCACTCATCATCGGGTTATGAAGATCAATTTATGATTTTAACTCTTGGAAACGAGACAAAAGATATTATCAAATGAGAAGAGAGCGAGTAACTGCATGCAAGGAGATGAACTTGACCAGAAATTTATGAATGGGAAGCAAGTTCGAGAGCTAAAGGTCGCCTCTTGCGAGGGTGTGCGATGTTTTGGGCTAAGACTGACCCTGGGGTTGCAAGTTCAACTTCATGCTAGGCCGAGATGAATGGTTCGGAACACATGAATGAATCTGCACCAAGTGGGGATACTCGCAACGCCGGCCGCGTATATGCCCCAACATTTCATTCATGAGGTCATGCACTAATATATAATAATATCAACAACTCATGTTCAAGTGGATATCATGATAGTGGCAGACAACTTACAACCACCTAAAAATCTAGGAATATGTAACATTTAGTAAAATTCAATCGAGCAATACGAATTATTCTCAAATTGTTGCGAAGACATCTTCTTCCTCTGTTACTATTTCATGATAGCTCCCATCGGTTCATTCAAGTCTCTCGACTAATGTTTACTTACACTGTATAAAATATAAAAATTATGGTTTCATGTATGAAATGAACGGGTGAATATTCGATCTATTCCAGGATACATAATTGACTGAAAAACTAATTAGGATGTCTTATAGATTATGATTAAAAAACGGAAAATAATTTATTTACATTGTAAGTTGCGCAACTTAGCGATACCTGTTACCGCATGCTGCTGAAATGTTATCTGATAATATGCTTCAAGCATAGTCATTTAAATAGAATAGACAGTATTTTGGAATAGGAGGGGAAAATGTAACTGCAAGGAAATTCAAAATTATTCCGGAGACATACGCAGTTGCAGTGTAACGTGACAGACACAAATACTGAGGCCTGACACTCACTCAAGTTGTAGACGTGAATGAAGTTGGTGTGTTTACGCTGAGAGTGGACAAATAACACCACTTCGAACCTGGCCAGATAAAAAGGACTCGGCAAACAAATACCGGTCCGACCAGTCGGCCACCATATTGCAAGGAGTGTCCCTTTTAGAATGAACTGCAGCGCTCGAGGCTTTAAAAAAAGCACGTTGATCTTGGGGCGGCTGGGGGCTGGCTTCTCACCTTGGCTCTCGTGCGCGCTTGGAACGGCGACTGCCAGGCAACGCTACGACGGGTTCCTATGAATGGGCTGGTGGCTACGTGACTGACTGCAACCAAGCGAAAAGCCAAGTAGAAACGGCGGAGCAAGGAAAAATTAATTCGTCTGCTCATTTATTGTGACAAAATTTTGGTAAATGTATCCAAAATTATTCATAGTATTATTCATGATGTATAAATAGTCCTTGATTATATGATTCATGGTTTGAACAATACAACATGGCAAATAACAAAATAAAATCATATTTTTGAAACATACGGGATGAATAACGCTGTCTCAATATTAACGTAAATATACCATTTAAAATACACCACCTATCACACACACAGTATATATACAGATAAACTAAAAATTTACGATTATGGTTCAGTTAATGTGTAAGGGGGAGGGATTGAGTAGGTACGAATTTAGGTAGTTTGTGATTGAGTTGGTAATTTGGGAGATAACGACCATCTACGATTCAAAATATTTGCTAGAGAGTTTAAAAGGAATCCCTGAAAGGCGGTAATATCCCGCAAAATTAATGTAACCAAGAATGAAATAAGTGGGCGGTAACCGATGTCACTAAATAAATATTAAAAGAATGAATCCTAATTGCTAGAAAAATATTTGGATGGTACGTGATAAGCGATATTTAAAATTCCATCTCCACCAACTGCGTAGTGTTTGATGAGAGAAATTAGTGCATTACTGATGTCTAGTAACTGATGCAAACAAGTAAATACTTGAACAGACGCCATTTGTTTGATGTAACCGAGAATATATCTGATAACGCACTTGGTAATAGATTTAAGCAAGTAATCACAGAAACAGGTGTTTTGTAACTATTGTAATTAGCCGGGATTGTAACAGGTGCATTGGTGGGCTGGCTGGCACCGATGGCCGGCGGCCGAGGAATGCTGCTAGCAAGCGCTGCCCGTCCAGCCCTGGGCGTCTCACTTTGTGTGAGCTCAGGGCTTGCATAGCGCGCGGTGCACAATGCAGGGGTAAATGTAAGCTGATTACATCAAATGCCCTGTTAATACAATATATCTGGGGAACGACGTGAAATTATACGAGTGAGATGGTGTGCTCCTACGATGAAGTGCGGCGATAATTACACAAAAATCCAACTCAGTACTCACTGCAGTGAGTGACAGAGAGCGCATTTTCTCGTCGACGAAAACTTGAGGTCACGGACGGACGGACGGACGGACATGGCGAGCACAATAGTGCATTTTTCCATAAACGAGAAAATGCGCTAATAAGAAAGCAGTTGCATACTCGTAGTCAAATAATCAAGTTGTATACTTTGCTTTTTCTAACAAGGAAGAGAAGGAAACCATTTTTCCCTGCAATGAGTAAAAAAATTGTAGATAAGTTGAATGAGCCGCATTTACATTAATGTCAGGGTACGATTTAGAATGACTTGAACAAGCTGGTATTGAAGAGGCTAAAAAATTATCACAAATAAATGCATTTGGAAAGTGAACGTATCCACTAGAGCCTACTATTGATCAAGTTGTTAATTACTGTCGCGCTGCAATTGAAATTTATACGTCAATCGTTTTTCTTACACTACCTATTTCCAACCAAAGTCATATTTAATCATTTAATTTCTTTGCAATGTCGCACGTATCCAGAACACGAGTTCCCTGAAGTGATTTTGAAGCATGGATCCAAGGCAGCAAACAACTCCTTCACGTATGGCTGCTTCCTCTCATTCAACTCCCTATTCGTCGGATGAGCATCACTAACCGCGAAGACAGTAAGCTCCACACTTAATAAAAAGGCTTAAAAGCATAGCTGTGTTATGCTGTGTGCCTGAACGCTTATTGTCTTTATGTCCATCTGTAGTCTGAATCATCTCAATATTCAATCAATTATAAATTATAGGTGTAGGTGGGCATGAAGTTTGAATTTTTTTCAATCGGTCCACCCGACTTGTCTGGGCGCCCCACTAGCGAGGGAACACCGCTGCAACACAAGGAAACGAAAGGCATTGGATAGAGTATAGCTTTAATACTCCACAAAAATTAAAAAAGAAAATAATGCTTTCATGCAAAACTATGGAAATTTGACATAATTTACGCACAATATTCCATGTTCACAGATTTTCAAGAAAAGGATACCATCGCAATATTTTCATCTCCCAATCTCAATTATTCTAAAGGCATCCGGTTTTTCGTCAGTTAGTTCCTTAATTCCCTACAATTTGGTAAGGTAAAATGTAATGCTCTAACGACCAAGCAGCATTGTTGCCTTCAGTCAAGATTAACGCCGGCATATGTATCGTCGCGCGAATTAATCTACAGTATTCGAATGTTACCTTAGCGCAGTCAATAAACGTGATTACAGCTTTACGACACTGAGTTTTGATCAATGATAAAATTTAAATTTTGACAGTTGCGGTCATCATAATTGATTTATTTCATTATGGAAGAGGCAATTTTTCTTGTTTATGATGAGGACAAGAATGAGATACGATTCGAAGAAGCAGTAGATACGCACAACATTACAAAAATCAACAACGTGCTAAACAAACTTAGGTAGAAGACGTGACAAAATAGCAACTTTTCGGTACTCACTGAACCCGAACGTTTGGGGGTCGCTTGTCCGTTGCCCAGGTTGAACGGCGGTGCACATTTAGAGGTGGGGTTGGGGGAATGGAACGTAGCTGATGCCCTTGCTTGGGGGCTCCTTCGGGGACGAGGGAGGGGAGATAACCAGGGGTGTGCCGACCTTTCCGGCCATCTGCAAGAAAGAAAGAATAACAAGAATGATATTGGTGTGCAGCCCAGGCTCAGAATACGCCATGCGGGGCCATGCCTGCAACAGCGGTGCATCGGTACCGGTCCGTTAACAGCCACCTACGCATCCCACGTTTGAAATTCTTGGTAAAATACGGACAGTCGATTATAACAGATTAAGTACTACAATTAAACAATCTCTGATGCTCAACTAGAGTATTGTGGAAATCCGACACACGGCCTTAAGTTACCGGTTAATGCTTTTACCGGTTATTTTTATTACCGGTTATTGCTGTTACCGGTCATTTTTATTATATTTCGTTCGTCATGACTATCGCATTATATTAGCTTTTGAATTGTTCGATCTCAACAAATTTTCAATTAACCGACTCTCA